CTGCTAGGGAGAGCTCAATAAGTACACCTGTTTCCTAATGTGGAAATATCTATAAACACTGCCACCAGAAGCATCAGCCCTGGCAACAAAGAACTGAGATAAGGAGCATGCTGGGATAAAAGTCTCTGGCCTAAAACAGAAGAACTAGCTTCTTATCAAACTATCTAAACCAGACTTGGGGACCTTGGGCTTTATACTTTTTTATTTTTTTGGAGTCAGGAAAGATCATCTGTAGGAACCCAATTCTGCTGGGCTTTGTCAGATAAAAGACAGTAGCTGGGCTGGGGGTGTGGCTCAGTGTCAGAGCACTTGCCTGCCATGTGTGAAGTAATGAATTTGATTTGCTTTCTAGCAACACACACACACACACACACACACACACACACACGGGGGAGGGGGGAAGCAGTAGGAACAGAAAGGGTATTATAGCTCCTTAGAATCCCAGAGTGAATTGGGTTACCTTAGTATGTAAGATCCCTAAGTTTATGTGCTGCTTTATTTTTGCATGTGAAATATGTGCCCATGTCTGTGCATGCATGTGTGTACAAGTGGAGCCCAGAGATCAATGTGGGATGTCTTAATAACTCTTCATCTTACTTTTTGAGACAGGGTCTCTAGTGAACCTGGAATTCACTGGTTCTGCTAAATTGACTGGTCAACAAGCCCAAGTATCCTCCTGTCTCTACCGCCCCAGTGTTGGGGTTACATGCGTGCTCTGCTGCACCTGGTATTTTTTAGGTGGATACTGGGGGGATCCCAAAGTCTTCACACTTGCAAAGTAAGTACTTTCCTGGCCAAGCCATCTCCTCGGCCCCTTTTTGTATGTTTTGCTCTGAGCCTGACATGGCTCCTAAGTTATTTTAGGGTTACCTCTTCAGAGGTAGGAGATGGAGAGGGAATATTAGAGTAGCAGTAAAGGCCTGTTAAGAAAAAAAAAATTGGTAAAGTACCAAACAGTTCAGCTTGTCCTGGCCAAGAAATCACTCCTAGGAAGGCAGGCTCACTTTAGAAACAGTCCTTTAATTTGATACCTTTCCTTCCCAGAATTCCCATCCCTAGCACAGTAGTTTACAGGGCCTCAGCCATACAGCTTTGTACAGCTTCTGAATTACTCGGGAAAGCCTGCTTCTCCTCTTCTGGCTGTGTGCTTGAAGCTGCTTTCCCTGACACTGGGTTTCCTTAATCTTTCTCTAAAGCTGTGGCTGCTTGTCTGCCTTGTGTCTGACTTCCGCTGCAGCACAATGGTATGGCTTTTTCCTTCTCTTTGCCATTCTCCTACTCTAGGCAGTTGCTGAGATTTGTAGAGTGCCTGCACTTGGTGATTTTTCTTTTAAACTCTTATAGAATTGTTTTTTAGTTTTGATAAGCAAGCAAGCAAGCAAGCAAGCAGGCAAGCAACCAACCAACCAAGCAACCAACCAAAGTGCTTTCATTCTGGAAAACCTACTCAGAAACTCTTCTGAGGAACAGTACTTGAAGCTCCAGGCTTCTTTTCCTTGACTGACTGTCTTATTCCATGCCTCAGAGGCCACACAAACCCCAAACACCTGGTTCCACTCAATGACCAAAGACAATGGCTCAGGCACTTTAGAGACCTGAGATCAGTGGCTTCCAGTGTTTCCCTCCAGGCATGTTGACAGGAGTATTAGACACTTGAAGCGTTACTCTGGAAACTTTCTCCAGAACCAAATAATGGCAAGTTACATGGAGTCCAGTTAAAATCTAAAAATCATGAGCTCCTTATTTGGTTGGAAAAGAAAATCTGTAATGTATAATGATTAAGCAGGTTTTCAACTGAGCTGTGTGGTGGATGCAGTTTAAGACACTGTGCTGGTCAGAAATTGTGACAGAAAACAGACCAGTACATTCTGAAAGGATGTATGCTCAATAGGTCCTAGAACAACAGAGTCTTACTTTCTCCCTATAGCAGACTCTCATAGCCATTCAAATAAAGCAATGAGGGAGGTACAATCTATACAAAGGCAGCTCGGGGGCAGAGTCTGGGCACTGTCTCTGGCCTTAACTTAGCAGATGCATAAGCATCCTTTGGTCACTCTGAGCACAAGACTGGAGCAAGTCATGTGTCACATCAACAAGCAAACACACAAGATCCTTGCTCAGAGAGACTGAAAACATGTCTACATTGCAACTTGTGAAATGTTTATCCTCCCAACCTAAGCAGGATTTTCACAGGAGCTCATGGCATACTAAACTCCCTAAATTTGTTTCCCCAAAGCACCACCTCGCATATGCATAGCAGCTCATCCTTCAGATAATTTTCAGATTCCCTCATCAATTCTTGAAGCATGTTCAATGATGTGACCACATGCTCTCACTGACCCTCTCTGGCATTAAAAGCTGGCCTAAAGATGCCAAAGTCTTGCACTCTTGATGGCAAGAACCTTGAGGTATTTACTGAGATAACCCAAGAAGTACCCACACCATAGAGCCCCATGTATGGCTCTCTGGCAGCTATGCTTCTAAAATCCTGCCTCGATGTTGTAGGACTAAAAGCCCTTGATTTGGGGAAGAGACCATATCCTTACTTCCTGTCCATCCCACAGAAAGGCTGCCCAGAGAAGCTAGGTGAACTTCAGAAACATGTATGACTTGGAGTTCTTAGAAAATGCAGTCTTAGCTCCTTCTTCTCCCACCCCTTCCTCTACCCTCAGGTAGGGCTCCTCCCTAAGCAGAGCATACACTCAGGCCATTTATGGAACCCTGCACACAAACCCACCCTTTATCCTCATTCCTGCCCCATTTCCCTTCAAGGATCGGGGCCAGCAGAACAGAGAGCTATGGAAGACCACACAGCAGTAACTTCCCTGCCTCCTCTTCACATTGGTTAGGCCATGGATTCTGGAGCTGAATGTGGAATTTCAGAGAGAAAATAGCTAACTGAAGTCCCTAAACATCTGGAATCCCAGTAAATTAATTGCCATGTACACATCACTCCACATTACTCTCTACACATGCAACTCAAGAGGCTGTTAGGCAGCTTTACAGGAACATATTAGCAAATCACCTATGACATAAAAATGAATGCAATAAGCTCGGCAATGTTAACTATGTTATGCTATATAAAACAGCAGTGTAACAAAGCATGAATTCCACATGAGCACTTATTATCAAGCTGAGGTAGTAAGAGTATACAGTGGCTATGACAGAACACTGAGGATTCTGAAAGCACAAGCTGTAAGATGATTGTGCTTGAGGAAAATATAAAGACTGTAACAAAGAGTGCTCAGTGCCTTCTCTCCCTCTCCCCATTTCTGTCTTCTCTTTGTAAAGGCAGAATTTGTCCCTATGGACAGAATACAATGTAGTGTGTTAAGAATGGAGCCCCACAGTCTGCCCACAACTCTGAGGTTCATGCACAAGGTGGCTTCTTTACACCTGGATTACAATCCTGGGTTGTAACCCCACCTGTTTCTTTCCAGTCCAGCCACAGCTCCTGTGTGTGACAGAGAGGCTGAGTGGCCTCACTCCTAACACTTCGAGACCTTGTATATAGATGGAAAGTAAGAGATGAAGAGCAGTGTTCATATGACAATGTTCCACTACAATTTGTGCATAATAGTAAGGCAGGCCCGGAGGATGAGGGTGGGAAGAACTGCCGTGCAATTTATTAAAATAGAGGAAACCTCAAGCCTCATCTTGTGATTTAAGAGAAAGTCAGTCATGACCACTTTGCAGTTTAACTTGTCTATATTTTAGACACAAACTATCATTAACAGATTAAACAATAGAATAATTATTTTCAAAGTAATGTTGGACTAAAAAAAAAAAAAACATGTAGTCTGTCATTCCCATTAGACTAAGGAAGGGCCCTGGCAATCACCCATGGAGACAGCAGAAGGAAGAGTGAGCCTCAGACTGGGAAGACAGAGTGAGAGATATCTGGATAGCAGTGATCATTTGCTGCAGACTTAACAGCTATTTCTCAGCCTCCATTTTACTATTTTAGCTTGTTTTGCACTGGCTAAAACCTGGAAGCTCCAAAGACCAAAGAAAACATACACACTCACACACACACACACACACTACCTATTCTTACATAAGATGACTTTCAATGAAAACAGGTTGAATCAGGATTCTTTCTTTCAGTACAAATACCCCTCCCTTCCCAACACCCCACCCTAAAATAGAAAAAAGATGTATCACAACCACACAGGCATTGTTTTCTAAAAAGAGGTTAACATGGGCTGTGTCACGACAGAAACAGAAATAGATTTTGCTCCTGACCAACAGCTCAAACCGTCCATTGGGGTAAAATTGAAGATGTTTTTGGAATTAGTGTGCAAGCAGACACACCCTGTGTACCTCCCAAACCTAAAACACTGCAGCTTTTTACTGATGGTGTCCATTCAGGCCAGGCCTGGGAAAAAACACAAGGGTGGCTTGCCTTCCTTTGTCCTTTACTCCTTAACATAAATGGTATTAGAACTTTTGTGGCAAACATCGTCAGGAAATGAGCAACCCAAATTCGTTAAGATCCTACAAAATCAGAAATAATTTGAAAGCAGCAATAGGTTTTACTTATTTAGCTCTTTTTCTCAAGTTCTAGGGATGGAACCTAGATCTTCATGTATGCTAGGCATCACCAAGATACCCTCAGTCTCATGTGTGTGTTTGTTTGTTCATTGGTTATACAGGGTCTCTGTCGGTAGCCTAAGCCAGGATGAAGTTCACTACACAGCCCAGGCTGTCCTTAAACTCAGAGCCATCTTTTTGCCTGAGTGCTGGGATTACTGGGATGAGCCACCACAAGGCTGTAAATTTCATTTTAAGTATCCTACATATTCAAAGGGAATTGCAAAATCAGTCAGTCTGTCTGTCTGTCTGTCTGTCTGTCTATCTATCTATCTATTGGCATTTAGAAAAAATAAAGATAAGCAAGCCATGCAGCAGGAGCACAGTAAAGGACAACCTCTCCATCAGGCCACAGCATATCTTCAAGTGAGCAGAGGTGTAAACTTAACTTGAATGTTCTCTCTTACCTCCAACATGGGCCTGGCACTGTCATGCACAGAAAGAATGTGTGTCACCTTGTTCCTGCTCAATTGTTCTGCATCTCTTGCATCTGCCATCAAACATAAGAGATGGACATCACTCGTATGGTCTAAGCAGAAAACAGCACATGACTTGTAGAATTTTTTCTTTATACTTCATAACTGACCATATCCAGAATAATCTAGATGGATGAAGGTAGGACTACTGTATTTATGTATTTTGCCTTAATTTACGTCTGACTGATACAACTTTTGAGTTCAAGCATTATACTCAGATTTTAAAAACAATGTACTTGGGAAAACTGCTAAAGAAATACAAGATGTTGTAGTGTAGTACACTAGTATATTTTTATATAAGTCACATAAAAGCATATATATATAAACTGTTACCTCTTACTGGAAGTAAAATCCCAGGACCCATTTGCTGAAGAAGACAGAGGAGTACAATAGATACTTCTCTCTTTGACAGAGAGAAAGCTTGAGATAGGACTATGGTTTATAATATCTATGTCCATGTTAGAGATAAAACAAACAATAATCCAGAACATTTTTTAGAAATTCCACATAGAATTATCAACTGGCTATTAAATTATCTTCATAAAAAAACTGACACCAAAATCATATTCTCTTCTAATGTTCCTACCTGTAGGATAGAAACTTTGGCTAACCTACTAAATAGCCCAGAAAGAAAGAAAAAGTCCCACTCTTCTAAGTCCTTGGCCTTGACCAAGTTCTTTAAAGGAATACAAGAGAAAAAGGACCAAAAGCAAGTATATGATGGTGTCTCTAGAGAATATCTGGTGACATGGGGAATTACCCAGGGCCTGCTGGGCAATGGGAAAATGGAGGTACCAAATTTAACTACTCTATAAACTCAATTTGTACAAACATGTACAGCCAGAACACATGTGGTGGGACAAGCAGTAAGCAGGCTTATTAAGATATAGAATAATGAGACAATGTCTATTCTTTGCAGTGCACGTGGGTGTGTGTCTAAGAGTTTATCATACACAACCACTCTGGGCAGCATGTCAGAAAGGCTAGTTCCTGGGTTCCAGTCTCATTCCATGTCTATGGTCAAACTATGTCATTTACATTCCCAACAAATCCTCAGAAAGAGCAAAAACTAAGAGATGATATTCTGAATAGTTTGCATTGTTGGGAAAGGCTTTAACTGCAATGTTAAAATACTTGTTTTTAATTTGAAGATCTCCTCATTGGTTCAGCCACCTAAATTCCACTTCAACCACTTCAAATTCCAGCTTGAAAAGCAGCTTTCTACTTACCACACAGTGGTCTCAGCCACCTCCTGGCACCACTATCAAAAGCTAGGGAAACAGAGCTTTGACTCATACTGTCCTGCGGAATGCAATGTAGAATGGCTCATGTGTATATGTCTGGATCCTCAGTTTAGTGTTACTGAAAGGTGGTGGATCCTCTGACAGGTGATTTTACATTCTATGGGCCATGTCCCTAAAGAGGACAATGGGACACTAGAGATGGTTTTAGTACAGAGGAGACACACTGGGGTTCTATGTGGATGCTGCATCACTTTGCACAAAGGACTTGATATTGGTTTTCAGTTTCTGTGAGGGATCCTGGAGCTAGCCAACAGCAGATATTGAGGGGCAATAAATTTACTGGGCTATTTTTTAACTGTTATTTAGTTTTATTGTGCTGTAATACACAACAGTGTCTCAGCCTTTGGCAATGGTCAAGTATGACTCCATACCATAAGAGTCACTCTTTTCAGAGTAGTGATACTCTGTTCTAACATGCACTCTGTCAGTGGTTTTTAGTACATTGAAAGTTGTGCAACTATAACCAAAATTAACTTAAAATTTTTCATTACCAATAAAATATATTTTCTAACAGCTTACCATTTTAAAATGTGGTTTGGTGAAAAAAACTGTACATCTGTGGATAAGGAGGCCCACTCTGCCAAACAAGACCCTGTGGGCTGCTGGGTCACTGGAGACACGGAAACAAGGCTTGGCCAGTGCTGCTGCTGCATCACAGTATGTCTGCATAGCTGCACTACCCTGAAATTACTCTCTCTCATGAAGCTCAGCCATGGACTTGAGCATGCAATCAATCATGCTCAATGATGAACTCCTTCATCAGTGATGTTGGATGATGACAGTAGACCTCTGGTACTTACTAACCTCAAATGACTGCGCATTCTAAATGAAAACCCATAACCACAGCCACTGTGGCAATGCACTGCACACATAGCTCACTAGCCACAAAAGATTGTAACTTTGAAATCAGATCTTCAAAGAGGTATTACCTGCACAGTGTCAGACATGTCTCAAACCCAAAGAGGCGCACATACCCAACCCACTGGGCTCTGGAGGGCAGGGGCTCACATTTTCCATCTGGAACGAAGGGAAAGTTCTGGAAATGGATGGTGTTGATGGTTACACACCATGTGAAAATACGTAGGGCTTTCTACCTGTACATGGGTGGCCACAAAGGTACAGTTTATGCCATATATGTATTTACTACCATTAAATAAACAGAGAGTGATAACTCACCTTTAAAGTTGCCAATGTACAGGCCAGGCAGGATCTGGAAGAGAGACACAGGTACAACTGTCAGTGGATGCCAAGTGGACAGGGTTGCTGCCTAAAAGGTGAAACTCTCATAAGATGACCCAGCTAAGGCCAAAGCCCCTCACCTACCATTCCCAACTCCCAGCACCTCCTTGACCACAGCCACTAAGAAAATTTGTTCAAAAGGTTATACTATAAACTTTCAACTCCCTTAAGATCCCTGAGCTTAGAACACGGATGGCATGGTGCTCTGGGCATTCAGAGAAAACACCACTCTTCTCCACACTGCACTTCCATCACTGCCCGTGTTCAAGATCTTTGTACACAGTGTCCACTATCAAGTGCCACTAATAGTATACAGTGTTCTGCGACCCCATTCAGTGACTGTTTGCCAGACCTGCTTCTCTGCCGGACTAGAAAATTCCCCGTTCCCTATGGAAGACATCAGAGGGGCTAAGAGGCTATGTTTCACAAACACCCCATAATTTTCAAAGTACCAAGCAAATCCTTGTCAGTCTTTTGCAAAGATAGTGAAATCCAGTTATGAAAATGCTCTGGAAACTAAGAGCACGTACAATGACTTCCCTGCCAGTTTCTAGTTGCACCTGGCTTCCAGGCTCTGCACACACCCAGATGCTGTGGCCATAAAGTCCTCCTGTCCCCTGCTGCCTCAGTACCATCCTCTCACGGTCCCTATTTTTATGAAGCAGAGTGGAACCATAGCATTTCTAATGCATGTTCATCTTGCATATGGCCCAAGCTAAGATTTCCTGGCAACATTTAGCTGCCTGGAGCTTTTCTACCTTCATCTCCCATTCCCTGGACCTCCTGTCTTTATTAGGATGTGATATCAAATTCTAATGGGCATATTCAGAACATGGCTCTTTTGGCTAATTTACACAACTGGTGATACTGGAAAAACAAATAATCATAGTCCATCACAACTCAACCATATAGAAATGGGGACATTCACAATCAATGCTGAAAGAAGAGTTACTCTGACATTTGTTGAAAATTGCAAGGAAGAGGCTAGAGTAATGACTCAAAGGTTAAGAGCACTTGCTGCTATTCCAGAGGACCAGCATTCAGTCTTCAGTACCCACACCAAGCTGCTCAAACTGTCTGCAAAAAACTATAGCTCCAGGGCATCCAACACATCTAGCCTCCTTGGGCACCTGTACTTAAATACATACACCCACATGAAGATACACACACCTACTCATAATTAAAAATAGTATTCAAATGGCAAGAAAGACTCTATTCAAGACAGGGGAGACAATGAGCTCAACTCCCCATCTTAAAAGGGTTGAAAAAAAATCACTAAGAGGGGGCTCACTGGTGGATGCCAGGGACTGTGCAGTCTATGATCAGCTTGATTCTTTGGTTATACCTTACCCTGTGGACAAGAATAAGACCTAATCTAGAATAGAACACATGGCTCCTGTACAGGAATGAGGAGAGAGGGCAGGCAGTGGACATGGGTTGGGAGAGCTGGTCCTGCACTGAGGATAAGAATTTAGGATGGGTGAAAGTATTTAATGTACCTTGGAAATGTCATTTCAAAAGAAGAAAAATAAAGTCATGTGGGCAATACAGGGTTTCACTACCACAGCACCTGTGAGTGGGCTGGGTAGACATCTCTGAGGGCAGGTTCAGCATTCTCACCTCCTCTGGAGTAGTGCTCAACTCTTACTATAGAGGTTGCACAGGGCCAGATTCCTGTTCCCACAGGACTTTACAGCTCTAGTCGAAGCATATGACCTGACTATGAACAATAATTCAGAAACAATTTAGAGTGTTCCTTGGCAGCACAAGTACTGGGCTGACAGCACACTCGGCACCCTGGCTATGGTATCAGTATCTTGGGTTCCCAACAGAAATGTTCTCAACGGAATACTCGTGGAATCTGCTCCAGGTAGGGTAACCTCTGAGGTTTTGTCCCCAAGCCTTCCTGGCATCTTGGGTTCCCAACAGAAATGTTCTCAACGGAATTCTTGTAGAATCTGCTCCAGGTAGGGTAACCCCTGAGGCTTTGTCCCTAAGCTTTCCTGGCCATTGGCCCTGTTCTACTAAAATAGCTATATTTGGATTCCACTGCTTACAGCCGCGTCCTTGGTATGAACTTTCACCAGGAAAAAAAAAAAAAAAAAACCTGTGTAGAAAGGCAACTGAGGCTTCTCCTGGCACATCTGCATAGCTGCACTACCTTGAGATTACTTTCTCATGAAGCTCAGCCATAGACTTGAGCATGCAATCAATCATGCTAATGACGAAATCCTTCATCAATAATGTTGGATGATGCAGCAAACCTTTGGTAATTACTTACCTACTCCCTGCCCTTAGCTGATCCTTCATAAGCTTCAGTCTTCACATAGCTTTCAACATAAACTGTAAGCAGGTTCTGTGCGCCAGAACCTTTGAAGACCTTCCAAGACTGGCTTTCCTATATTTTCAGTCTCAGTCCTACCCTTAGCATTCCCTGACCTCACCTACACCTGAGGAGATGGCAAGAGCACATCACTAACTTAGCCACATGGAAACACAGGCAGGAGCCTCAAGTGCTAGCATGCAGATTTTATGGTATACAGACATTTTTACCTTAATTTAAAAAAAATTACCCAATTATACGGTAAATTAAGAAGGTACAACTGAGCTGGTTGGTGGTGGTAGCACATGCTTTAATCCCAGCACTCGGGAGGCAGAGGCAGGGGGATCTCTGATTTCAAGGCCACCCTAGTTTACAAAGCAATTCCAGGAGAGCCAAGGGTACAATGAGAAACCCTGTCTGACCATAGCCAGTAAACATAGTTTGTAACCGCTATGTGCCCCTGCATTCGTGTCCTTTAAGGACTGGTTCTAGGACACCCATGCACCAAATGATCCATGGCCCCTTATATAAATGGCATTGTATTAATAAGCATATATGTTCAATCAGCTTTACATGACTATAGCAGCAGGCATACTGTAGACACTGTGCCAACAGCCATGCCCTGTTTTGCTTGGGGCATAATGACAACAAGGAATGTCACATGTCCTTGAGACAGAAGCAGCCACTGCAGGCCTAACTATACAGTACAAGAATGAGACATGGGTGAATGGTGCTTGAGCAATGAATCCTACAAAAAAAGCAAGGATCCCCAAAATGGTAAGCTATGGCTGCATTAGTGAACTCAGTCTGCATGCCATATTTACAGGAAGACGCAGTCAGTCACCTTCTGGGATGTGGATAAGACTAGAGAAAGGTCCCTGTTAGTACAGGGCTGAGGATTAAGACATGGGGTAGCTCAATTCTGACAGGTCTTCCTGCCAGGGCACAAGATTTACAGTTCTTGCTGAAAGCTATGTGAAACTAAGCAGGCCATAAAGACAGCTCAGGAAAGAGTCTGGCTAGAGAAGCTGTTTACTGAAAAATAATGAAAGATGAGGATTTTACATGCATTTTAAAACTGCAAGGAAAGGACAGAATGGGGTTAGTCATCTTTTAACTTTGTTTTCTAGACAGGACAGTGATTTAAAACTTCATGGGTTGGACTAGTATGCAAATTGCTCCCACCCATTTCTGTAGTTAAAGTCTGGTTCTCTTCCAAACGGAATTACAAAACAAAATCAAGGAAGGCTGGTTCCCAACAGATTAAACAGTACTTGGGTAAACTTCTCAACTGGTCAGCGTCATCATCTAAACAAGACAGTAAGTCTGACTCACCCACTTGGCTGATACTGTTACTGTTGGCAACCTCTGGGCACAGAGAAAGAAAAAAAAAAAAAGAAGTAAACCAACTGGAATGACTTGCCCACAGAAAGATGGTTTGTAGAGCAGCCTGCAGGGCCCAGCGGACAGGAGGCCAGTGAGAATGCAGACAGGGGTAAGGCAGACACCATTATCTGGTAGGCAGCAAAGGCAGATTGGAAAAAAGTCTATGATGTGACCTGGGGATGTTTTTCTTCTCTAGAAGAATAAGCTTAGAATTGGTCCTGATCATCTTTGTCCTTTGGAGTCATCATTCTTTCTCTGCTGGGCCACCCTCCTTTACCATTTACCCTAGGGTTCCTTATAGAGAGGTCTCTTCTGGTCACAGACTGCTCATCTCGCTCTCTCCTTTTGTCTGGTCTTATTTTCTTTACCACAGTCTTCAGTACTCAGAACTTTCATTTTTTTACTTTCTGACTAACCTGAAGAGCCAGGAAGGAATTTGCTCAGTTTCTACCACTACAGGGGAGCACCAAACACTGAGCAGCTTATAGAGGGCAGAGGTCTAGTTTGGCTTGGTGTTCTGAAAGTCCTAGAGCATGGGGGCCCAGCACCATCTGACAGGGGCTTGCAGTGGAAGGGCATGTTGGTACATGTGGAAGAGAGAGACTAGACTGCAACAGGCAGTTTCCTGGGAGGAAAACATCAGTCCATTGATGAGAGCGCTGCCTCAGGTCTCAGATGCCTCCTATAGGACCTACCTGCACTGCTATATTGAGGATCAAGATTCAACACACTTTTGTGGGCACACACCATGTTCAAACCAAGGCAGGGCACAGCCCTTCCCACCGTGTGGCACACTAACAGGGAACGGGTGAGATAATTGCACAACCACGGAGGAACTGGCCCTGGAAGCCACTGGTCAGAAAGATGCTTGTCAGTCACCAGACAGTAGACACAGTAGCAAAAGAACCCTAAAAGACAGAAGCACTTCGGGATCACATGGAAGCACACAGGAGTTTGCAGCTCCTCTTGATCATACTTACATATTATTCATCTCTAACATCAACCTCACAAAAGTGCAAAAAACACAAATCCTTTACCTGGAAACATATTTATATCCAAATGGAGTGTACTTTGGAGGCAGGAAATGTTTGGAATTTATTTTTAAACTTTTCTTAGTACTTCAGGATGCCACAAAATCTGAGAACTCTATCCCAAAAGATGAGAAACTCCTGATGAAACAGCCAGCATAAAGCAGTATTTCAAGTGGGTGTGGCATTATAATTCTTCCTAGATCAAAAGGGATTTTTCTAGGTTTTAAACCC